AGGCCTAATGTGTTCATGCTTATGCGAGTTGAATTTATTCGAATTAATAGAATCTTGCTTGATTGATTAATATAATTGAAGAGTGACACTTCGATCTTGCAATTAGAAATATTGAATATTGATTAGTCGAGTTAGGGTTTTGTTGATTCGATATGATTAGTTAATTAATTGTCTTCTAATTTAATTAGCGACTTTAGAACCGGAAGGGGAGAAGTCGTAGAACTAGGCTCGCATGAGGTAGATAATTTCGTAGCTGAGTAATCTATGTGTTTTTTTTATTGAAATACGTGCTTGTCTATGACCCGTCCCTTGTTACGAAAAGTTATTGGGATTGGGATAATTGGCCTGTATTGTATGCTCGAACTTGTTCGTCTATGTTCAATCCCTTGTTATGAAGAGTTATTAGGAGCGAACCGCTAGATGTGTAAGCGAGAGTGTCAATCTCAAACCGAACAATGGATTACCCGACTTTGCTAGAACTTGAATCAATTATTTTCGATTCTCTAGCTTCTCCGTCTGTGTTTCACTCTTATTTCTAGGTAGATTTATATTTTTGCATTGTTCTTTATTTCTTAGTTGATAATATCCAATCTTTATCTGATTAGGGTGTTTAGGATTTTATTTGCTTTTATGTGTGATCGATATCAAAGCTGAAATCCGAACAACCTTCCTCGTGGGATCGACCCAGGGATCGAATCTTTTGATTCGGTATTCGGTAAAAAGAATAATTTGTACACAACAAATTTGGCGCCGTTGCCGGGGAAGGCAAGTAGGACATTTGGTTTTGGTATTGATTTTATTTTCCGTGTTTCTCTTTGTTTTGTGTTTTTCGTATTTTTGTTCTTCTTTTTGTGCATATTGGTTTTTCTTCTCGTCTTCTTTGTTTTTCCCTTTTTCGTGGCTTCGCGTGGTTTTTTCTGTTTTGGTGTGCAGGTATAATGAACTTTAATCACGTGTACTCCTCCCTGCACTACCCCTCTTGGGTTAACGAGCCGAGCTACCACACTGGGTACAACGTCCAGTCTTATCTATACTCTTTTGAGTAGTACTGGGACCCCTTCTCGGTCGAGCAACATTATGAATCCCACAAGTTTAACGAGAAGCTCGACCAAATTCTTGATTTCATAGAGTTCAAATCAGCTCGAGAAGAAGAGGCCGCCTACAATGCCAAACTCGATCTCATCCTAGATCGATTGATGGCCCAAGCAAAACGAGAGGAGAAGATGGAGCTCAGATGTGCTCGTTTGAGCGAGCAAGTGGAGAATCTAGCAAGGCGCATCGACTCTATCGAGTCCCAGGCCGATGAGCCCAAAGTTGTGGACCCCCATCTGACACCCTTGCACTTCAATGAGCTAGGGGATGACTCTTCGGGCTATAATGCCAAGTTTGACCTTATCCTCGATTGGATGATGGACCGAGCTAACCAAGAAGAAAAGATTGAGCTCGGATGTTCTCGACTGAGCACACAAATGGAGAGCCTCACTGCACGTCTCGACTCTATAGAGGCACAAGTCGACGAACCCCACCTCATGCTTGATACTTAAGCCCGCACGATGAAGAAAATGTATGAGGCTGAAGAAGATGACGATGACTCCCAGCGAGACATTATGATATTTCAGAGGAGGAGATCCATGGGCTTGATTCTCAAGTCCAACCTCCCACCTCCGAGTTAGAGCTACCGTCTTCGAGACCCTTACACTGTGTTATAAAGTTGGAAGGATTCAGTTCGACTTGCTCCACTGATGAGCTTATATTTTTGGAGGTTGACGATAGAGCTCGGGTGGGAAAAGCTCTGCATCTAGAGTTGGGGATTGCTCGTGCTCGAACCCACTTCATCCAGAATATTGCTACCCGAGCCACTCGTGCTTGCCTTCTGGCCTTAGTGCCAGTACTGCCACTTCTCGAGAATACAAAGACGTGGCACGATCGTCACTTCTTTCTGGACCCCGGATGAGTTCTCTTCAGGTTTCGTCAAGCTAAAGACGTTA